GGTTTTTAGAGTTCATGGATGCATTTTGAGTTATTTTCTCTGCATGGTTTTAGGTAAAGGTCCAACTTCCTTATTTTCCAAAAATGACATGTAGTTTGATGTTGTTGGTTTTAATCATTCTGCTCATCTTTACCTTTTGTTTGGAGAGCTTAATCTAAATTTAAGTTAACTTCTTTAAATTTTTCTTTAAGATTTCATATCTACACTCCACTTCCCCTCCTCCAACTCCCCACAAGATCTGCTTCTGTCACTTTGACATATTTTTTTCTATTTGCCTTTTCTAAACACTTACAGTTTTTTTTGTTTTTTGTTTTGGCCAACATTATTATGTTATCTTTGCTCTGTTTAGTTTGATTTTTATAGGGAATCACTGAGGTTCTTTTTCTTTTGTGTGCATTCTTCGGAAACTTTTTGGGACTATCATGAGGAGTACTTTTAACGTCGTGGAGTTCCCACAGTGTAGTGAGTTTGTACAATCTTTACTTTCACGGAGAACAAAAACAAACAAACAAACAAAAAAACGCTTTTAATATCTCTAGTCTCATCCTTTTCAGTTGCTCATGTCACAAAACTACAGGATTACTCTGAAAATACACCATCTTACCTTGTTAATTTCAATATCTTCTATTTTATGTATAATTCCTTTGGACCTGAAAGCCTTGACAATTTCTCTAGCCATATTGAGCATGACATTAATCTCCTGTTTGGTTTTCAGAGTGACAGCAGTTTCTGGATGATCATACTCTAAGTAACCTGAAGAACAATGCAATAATTTCAGATAAAATGAGAAGATTACCTTAAGTATTTTGTGAGGACAAAAAAACTGACCCTTCTCTAAGTCAACAAAGTGCAACTTTCACCACAGGGGTGTGTATCTCACTGTCGGGCCTGTTACCATCAATCCCTCACCTGTCCTGCTGGGATTCTGTCATTTTCTTGGTTACACCCACACTGTGCTAAAGCCCATGGAAAAAGGATGGAAAGTTCTATCCCTAAACTAATGGTTACACTGGCCCACCGTCACTGGGTCCTGCAAGCATGCTGGGGGCCATGTATCTGGTATTCACGATCCACTTTTCTGTACAGTTCAAAACAGGATTTTTGACTATATACTACCTGTTCAGCTGTGGTTTCTGATTAAGTCCTATAGCTCATCCTGGGTCATTTTCCTCAAGTCTATTTGCAAATCTAGAAGACACAGCCATCTGTACCTTTTGACTTTATTTTGTCTGGATTGCTAGGTGCCCATGTATACCTCACCCACTCATATGGGACATATGTGATTTCCCCTGGTCATGACCGCTTCTCTGTCCTGTGACTAGTTGTCATACGGCTCTCTTAAGCTTCATTCTCAGGCTCTCTGCATTCTTCTGCTGCCTGCCACTTCCTACTAACATGTCTTCACGTGTGAGTACTATGTCTTCACATGTGAGCACTGTCTTCACAGGTGAGCACTATGTTTTCAAGGGTGTTTATTCCACTTAGGATTTTTTCCTCTACCAGAAATACAGCCTAGTACGACTCAGAGATGACACCCTTGCCAGGTGGGCATTGGGCCCTCTGCACTCCTGAGAGAAATCCTCAGGACTCTATTCTGATTTCAGTCCCCAAATCCTAAATCTCCCAGTGGCAATACTCTTTGAGTCACTCAGGAACATACAAGTTGTGTCTGGTTTGGAAGAAAGGGAGATTCATAAAGCTATGGATGATATAAAGAATCATGGTGTGGTAATGGTGATTGTTTGAACACACATTAAAACCTTTCATTGTGTCAAGTAGAGAGCAAGTGTGATGAGTAATACTATGCTAACAAATTTATTATATGTTAATATAACCTTACAGTAATATTACATACACTAGAAAACATGATCATGTGGGTTGTTTAAGTTTACCATTTTACTATTAAGAATTAAGGGTTGGGGGGGGTGGAGAGATGGTTCAGTGGTTACGAACACTTACTGCTCTTGAAGAAGACCAAGGTTCAGTTTTCAGAACCCACGTGGTGCTCACAACTGTCTGACTTCAGTTCCAAAGGATGCTACACCTTTCTCTGACCTCTTGTGGAACTGCACGCACATGGTGCTCAGACATGCATGCAGACAAAACACTCAAACACATATAATAAAGACAAACATTTACAAAAAAAGAAGAAGTAGGTTTCCTCACAGATTTTTGGTGCTAAGACCCATTGCTTTTCTGAAGTTATCATGATAAGAGATGTTTAAGTTCCATATTTAGAGTGAAGGTTCCTACCTAGCTCTTTCATGGCACGTTCCATATTCCTTGTTACCCGCATTAACAATATCTGTAGAGCAAAAAAAGACATTATTTCTGTTGGAAAAATAAAACACTACAAATAGCTTTACATTTGTAAATGATTTTTAAGCTAATTTGATAAATTTATTAAAAAGAATGATGGAGGGTATGGAGAGATGTATCAGCGGTTAAGAGCACTTGATGTTCTTACAGAGGACCTGGGTTCAGTTCTCAGCACCCATCAAGCAGCTTACAACTGTCCCTAAGTTTGGTTCCAGGGGATCAGGTGCTCTCTTCTGGCCTCCACGAGCACCTGGCATCCACATTGTGCACAGACAGACATGTATACAAAACACATACACATAAAATAAAAATATTTTTTTGTGTGTGATGGAGAATGTTTTAAGGGTCAGAATAGAATTTGGCAATGAGCTTTCAAATGATAGATGCTGGGATGGTTTTCAATATCAAATGCATAGAAGATTGGATGAAAGTGTATGAGAATTGAAACAACAAATACTGCTTGATGTTTTAGAAACTCCAGTTTTTTGTGTTCTCGTCTTTGCCTTCTTAAATCCCATTGCTAGGTATTAGTCATGAGAGATGATAAGCAAGCTTAGGAAAATTGGCTTACAATTGCAGGTAGAGAGAGGAGACAATGCTCTTTAGGTCCTCTACCACGTGTTGGGTGTACAGTATTTTTACTATGCTTGTTGTGGCACATAAAATTTGGCATTCAAGTATTACAAATTATTTTGAAAGACAAATATTGAATTCCACCTAGCTGTCAAACTTCTAGGTATGTACAGACATTAATCTGCTTCAAACTGAGAGCAAAAAAATGAAAATAAAATAAAAAGAACTTAGGTCTAAGGTTTAAGGGCATCTTTGCCACCTACTAGCCATGGGAGTGTAGGCATGATCAAGCAAATCGCTCTTGGCCCCATTTCTCATCTGCATAATGAGAGCATGTGATTGGGCACATGTAGATAACTGTTGTTTTCCTTACTCCTTTCTGTCTGCCAGACCACTGGCTTCTATTGCTCATACCTTTTATTTGGGTAAGAAATGGAAGGAGCTTTGGGGCATGACGAGAAAGCTCTGCTCAACACAGCGGCCACTCCTCCCCGCCTCGCACTATTTCCCGACTAATCTTGGAGGCTGCATGCGGAGAGAGTTGAGCACTGTGCAGGGATGCAAAGGAGCCTCCCAAGGTCCTCCTTGTGTGCTAATATGGCACAGACTTTCTAGTTCAAGAAGAGAAGTGATGTGGTAATAGAAATAGACCAGTTACGCAGGAGTCAGAGACTACACCTAGGTGTAAAGATGTCGGACAAGATGTGTGACGGCAACAGCGTAGCGAACAGAGTGAAGGTTTCTCCTCATGTCTGGCTTTTCTCTCACCTCTTTAGTCTGTTTGGAACTTGCAATCTGATCGATTATATTCAGTACATCCATTTCCCCTTGGACATAGCCTTTTAGTACAGCATACCGAAAGGATATTTGATGACTCATCCTTTTGTCTATTATTTGCAGCAACTTTGGTGTTATGAGCTAAAAAAAAAAGACTATTATTAAACATTAACTGCATGTTTTGTTTATACTTCACTTAGTTTGGCCAGTTGCTTTCTCTGATTCATGCTAGCAGTACAAGATGTGAGCCCTTAGTTCTGCTCCTGCTGTCATACCTCCCTCCCGTGACAGACTCTTGTCCCTCTGAAACCCAAATAAATGCTTTCTTCTATAAGTCTTCACCTTGGTCATGGTGTTTTACCACAGCTGTAGAAAAGTAACCACTATGCTACTGTTTTGCACCCATCCTGCTCTGTGACTTAGGAATGTGTGGATCCCATGCTTTTTCCCTTCTGAAAGTATGCTCCGTAGGAACAAAGATCACATCTAGTCCCTCTTCATACTCACAGGGTCTATCATCTGACATGAGCATTCAGAGTTATCTGAATGTATTTCCAAACTTTTCTTAGACAGCCTACCCGTTCCTCACCTATTTAGTAGAGTCTGTAGACCACACATTAGAAAAAAATGAACTATAAACTTTGGAATATTCTAGACCTTCTGCCCTCAGATTGAATTGTGGACTAGTGTATTTACTGTCTCACAGAATACCACAAAAGTAGAAACTAATAATTGACTACTTTAGTCCTGGTTCGTTTAGGTCTTAGTAGCAAAAGCATTTCTAAGAATGTATAAGACATAGACATAAACATGCTATGACTGTTTCTCTACCCATACATCCTCATATGATGTATCCTGGGATAACTTTCCAATTACTCATGTAATCATATAAGAAGTAACTGCCTCATACACGTGAAAGCAGCATTGATCAGACATGTAATTTTGGATACCATAACACTGAATTTACACAATATGAAATGCATACTATTTTAGTTCTTGATCTGTGTAAATATATACTATTGGCTTTGTCACTATGGACTTTTTTTGTGGTCATTATTTTGATTATTTCCATTTTTAAACTCCCAGGTAACTATACAAAGAAGTATTATTTAGAATGTATTAGTATTTACATGAACATGAATTTTTCAAGCACTCTCTATTAAAAGGGAAAGCAGTGATGAATGTCTGTAGTTCCTTGAGCTAAACTGATTTATAATAATTTGAGTATTTGAAAGCTTGACTTGCTAGAAGTAGCTAACCATTCAGACCCAAACACCAGCCCAGAAGCCAATGTTTTCCCTGAAACTGTTGACCTCATTTTAAACTGACAGCCCCTGACTCCAAGCCCACAGAGGAAGTCAAAGTCACGTGCTTTACTTGAGCTTTACCTTCAAGATGCGCAGTATCCGAAGGAGTCGAACTATATTCATGAAGATCACAGTCTCAGTTAAGTCCAAATTGTAATTAATGGAGTGTGTTTCGGTAAGCACTACATCTGCCATGCCCACTAAGGTAATCCCCAGCTCTAACAGGAGCCAGGTGTGTGAAAAAAATTCCCTCCTCATTGCTGCCATCTGTTGATACAAAAAGAAATTACATCGTCATATTTTCTGCTTTTTTTTTTTTTATTTTTTATTTTTTTATTTATTTATTTTTTTAATTTATTTTAATTTATTTTGCAATACAATTCAGTTCTACATATCGGTCACGGATTCCCTTGTTCTCCCCCCCTCCCGTCCCCCTCACCTTCCCCCCAACGCCCCCCCCACCCATTCCCATCTCCTCCAGGGCAAAGCCTTCCCCACAGACTGAGGTTAACCTGGTAGACTCAGTCCAGGTAGGTCTAGTCCCCTCCTCCCAGGCCAAGCCAAACAATCCTGCATAGGCCCCAGGTTTCAAACAGCCAACTCATGCAATGAGCACAAGATCTGGTCCCACTGCCTGGATGCCTCCCAAACAGATCAAGCCAATCAACTGTCTCACCCATTCGGAGGGCCTGATCCAGTTTCTGCTTTTTTTAAAACCGATTCCCCCCAACAAGAATGTAAACATTATCGACTGGGCTTTTTTCTTGATCTACCTGTGACTCTATACATCAGAAATACCACCAACACGCAAGCAAGCAGAGGATGCTCGTGACTGCGTCCTTTAGAGGAGAAAAACTGTGAAGACTGATGATGTAGACCTAATTGTACAGTACGGGTATAGATGAAAGATTTATCAAATGACACTGGAGTTGTCACTGGTCATCAGTTGGAGGGAAAGACAAATTCACACAAAAATACCCTACATCAGGGTTCCTTAATTTCAAACAGCCCTAAATGCCCAGGAATCCCACGGTCCCTATTTATATTACTTAATTGTATCAAATGTGTGATACTGAGTAGTAAGAATATCAGATATATATGTAATTCACATGGGCTACATTTTATTAAATCAGTTCAAGATTTAAAGATTAATTTGGTGAAAGGATGTTTTTTCATTCTCTCTGTTTTGCTTTGTGATGATGAAAAACAAAAGTCACTTTTAATATCTTGAAAATTTAAGTGAATATAAATATTTTATCAAAACTACCTTGATAATTGTGCCAATGCTTTTATTTCAGGACACTGAAAAGCTAACAGAAGGCATCACACACGACACATGCTCAAATATGTACATTTCAGAAATTCTTTTTGTCTACTATTTTTTCAAGCCATGTGTTCCTTCCTGCCTTAGAGTAGTTGGACATAAAACAGACTCCGGGTTTTGTGTGCATTTTATTTTGTTTTGGTATTTTTTTGTGTTATTCGTTTTTTGTTTGTTTGATTTTCACTTTTTCTGGGGGTGTGGAAAACATGAAATGGTTTGGAAATGGAGGTGGGTAGGATCTGGGAGAAGTTCAGGGAAGAGAAAGAATAAGATCGAAATATGACATATGGAAAAGTATTTCAAAAGAATATCACTAATGCAGTTTAGACTCAATCTGCATCCCTTTCACCTACATCATTGTATTTTGACAAATACAGAGTCAATGCTTAAAGCATCAATTACTTGCTATTGTTGTTCTCAACATCACCTTTAAAAATTAAATTTGTGGGCTTTGAGAAGAGACAAAGGAGTTCACAATATTCTCTTAGAAAACTCAGCTGATGTTGAAATGTGCCTCCCATAACACACTCATGTGCACAAATTTTAGATTACCTTAAGTAGAGCCTCTAGAGTATAAAAGTTAAGAAAATAGTAGTTAGCCCATTTTATTTCATCTTTATAGATGTCCTTTAAGCGGGATATCCAGCAGATTATCATAGGATATATGCTCATAAATACAGCAAGGTATCCAGTGTACTCAAATTCATCTGTAAAGACGATTTTGTGGCATAAGTGAAGAAACAAGTATCTGCAAAAAATAAAAAGGAAAGACAATTTTATCCAAAAAAAATAATTACATAAAATGTTCTTTCCTTATTTGGTCAGTTCTGTTCTACTTAACTGGAGCTAGAGAGCCCTGCTGAATTCTAGGCAGTAGCCTCACTAGTTAGGTATCTGCATCTTGAACAAATCTGATGATTGATAAGTCATTTTGTTTTAAGAAGAGTTTCAGTGGAGATACCTGGTGTGGGAGAATCAAGCAGTTCCTAGAAACAGAGTTTTTAAACAAAAATCCCAGTGCCAAGGGCGGGCTACCTTCCTATGAACTGCTGTCCAGGGAGGTCCCTCAGGTCCCCCAAACAATAGAGGGAACTGCTACCACTGTTGGATGCCAACCATAGCTAGTTGGTAAGATCCTATTGCTTGACCCAAATGTCTTGATCACAGGATACAGAGAAATCAAACTGAAACTGAGCTGGAAGCTTCCTCCCTGCTGGCTAGCCCTCATAGTTTCATAAGATGGCATGAAACTTCTGGGGAAATTTGTCATGAACTGTCTTGCTCAGCTGTGGAAACTGTGTGCAACAATGCTGACTGGCCAGGCAAGAACTCCCTGGTTCAACTGTGGTAAGTCTGTTAGAGGGCCAACCAATTGCTTTCTTCCTTTTCTTTTCTCTTTCTTTCTTTCTTTCTTTCTTTCTTTCTTTCTTTCTTTCTTTCTTTCTTTCTTTCTTTCTTTCTTTCTTTCTTTCTTTCCTTCCTTCCTTCCTTCCTTCCTTCCTTCCTTCCTTCCTTCCTTCTTTCTTTCTTTCTTTCTTTCTTTCTTTCTTTTTTTCGTTTTTTCAAGACAGGGTTTCTCTGTGTTGTTTTGGAGCCTGTCCTGGGATCTCGCTCTATAGACCAGGCTGGCCTCGAACTCAGAGAGATCTGCCTGGCTCTGCCTCCCTAGTGCTGGGATTAAAGGCATGTGTCACCACCGCCCGGCCCAATTGCTTCCTGATTGGGTTTGATGCTCATGCCACATGAGGAAATTCATATCTAGTCAAAAAGTCTGTGGTGGTGGAGCTTGGAGGCTCTGGTGGAGAAACTACTGCTCTCTATGTGCTAAATCGACGCGATGTACCCATCCAAGCTACAAAAGAGCCATGTTTATGTTCATAGACTAGTGCTACTGTCAGCTGTGACCAGAGAAGTTTCCTATTGTATTTGTACAGAGAATAAATGACTGTTAAATGTACAGTCATAAAGGGGACATCTGTATTACCCCTTGTGGGGGCTCAGGGAACATCATGGAAGAAAGGACAGAAAAAATGCAACAGTCAGAGACAGCAGGGAAAGCAGCGTAGAACACTGACTTCCAGGTCTAACATAACTGTTGCACTCTGGAACTCACAGAAACTTTCATTGCACAAGATCTGCAGGAGACTAGGACTGTCAACATGCTGTAATGTCTAGAGTACAGGATCATCTCTCTCCTGTGGCTATACATGCAGTTAACAGTTGATGGGAGAAGGAGAGACATTTTCTTCAGTTATGAGACATTTTCTTCAGTGATGTAGCCACTGGTAAGTAGTAGATCCCAGGCCCTCTAGCTGTGGTGAGACTCCAGCCACAACCCAGGCAATCTTTCTCTTCATAGCTCTCATAAGAACCATGTTCCCTTGTCATGGGACTGGGCATTTCCAGATAATAAACCCCAAATGTGGAAAGGCTGAAGACAGAACTGTTTGATAACATATTTTAATAAGACCCATTGTTCTTGTAGATGGCCTTATCCAGCAATATCCTGGGATCTTTTTAAATATCTGCTTCATGCAGAAATATAAAAAATGGAATATATCCAGCTCTCACTGGATGGGATTAGCCCACCTTTTGCCCATTTTGTGGGTGGAACATCTTTCTACTCCCTCCTCTTGCATAAGGGCCCTAAAAGAACTAACTTTTCTTTCTCCTAGTGAGTTGAAGCCCACACCTCTGTCCTTATATCTACTAAACCTTTTACTAGATCCCTGTCTCTCTCAAACCCTGTTCCTTAAAAAAAAAGTTAGGTGCAAATGCTCCTGTAAACAAACTCCTACCCGTGCACCTACAAATCCCCACTCATGCTGAGGTAAACAACTGTACTAGCTAGTTTTCTGTAAACTGGACACAAATTAGAGTCATTTGGGAAAAGGAAACCTTAATTGAGAGAATGCTTCCACCAGACTGGCCTGTAGGCAAGTTTATGGTACATTTTATTGATTAATGATTGATGATCAATGTGAGAAAGCCCAGCCCATCATGAGTGGTGCCATCCCTGGGCAGATGGGGTTGTGATATATGAAAAAGTAGGATGAGCAAGCTATGTGTAACAAGCTAGTACGCAGCATTTTTCCATGGCCTCTCCATCAGTTTCTACCTCCAAGTTCCAACCTTGAGTTCTTGCCTTGACATTCCTGGATGATGACTTAGAAGCTGTAACATGAAATGATCCCTTTCCTCCCCAAGTTACCTCTGGTCATGGTGTTTCTTCACAGCAATAGAAACACTAACTAAGACAACACTAAAGAAACTCATTTAGGGACACACACACACACACACACACACACACACACACACACACACACATGAAAGTTTGGACAGTTTGGAAGAAGAGTTGGGGGTGAAAAGAGAGGGTAACAGGGGTAAATATGTACATGTATGAAAATGTCACAATGAAACATATTATGTATAATTAACATGCTTATAAAAAGAGAACATTAACTAGCGATTTAGCACAGTAGTAGAATGTTTGCCTACCTTCATATACAGCACTCTAAAAATACAAAACACCCCAGTCTAAAAAATACAAGCAAAATGACATTCTTATATATTTCCTTCTTTTAAGTAATTTTTGTGTGTTTGTAAATAATTAAATTGTAATCTACTTCAAAATAATCTGCAAAGTACTTAGGCTATAATTTTAAAAGGAACTAACTTTCAAAAGTTATCATTACATTTTTTTTATTTCAGGACTGCTCACCTTGATGGAACCCCTTTATCTTTTTTAGTATTATACACCCAGTTGAGTAGTAATTTTCTAATGAAGGAGAGGAATTTTTTGCTTTCAGAATACTTCTTTATGGTCTCAGGACTCATATATCTAAAAAATACAGAGAAATCATTAAATGAGTTTTAAATCCTTTGAGATAAGTCCAATGCAGTACTGTCAGAATGCAGGAGGACTATTCTGTACAACGATGACTAAACAAGATGTTTCATAGCATAGCTCCAAGCCACGAACAGTAGATATACAACTGTGTAGTCGGGTTGTGAGACCAACTCATTAAAAGGAGTACAGATTGTTGGGGGATACAATTACTAAAAATCTAAAAGACCAGAGAGAAACAGTCAGCCATGTTTTAAATATTTGACACCTAGGTTTTTATTTTAGATGTGATCATTTGTTATGGCAATGAAGAAATGATCTCTCTAACATGCTTGTTCAAGGAGATAAAACTAGCTCTGTCAGGCTGGGATAACTGAGCAGTATATAGAGCATCTATCCCATCTCACACAAGTTTCCCTTCAAGGCAAGTAGTTGGGTTTAAGCGACTACAAAAAGGTAAACATGTTAACTTGGAGAGGTCAATGTCATAAGAGACTCAAAGGCATGTTGACAACGCTTACTAGAAGGTGCTTATAGATTTCCTTTAATTTTTGTGTTGAAATAGCTCAGATCTGTGAGTAGCGGCTTGGTTTTACTTAGCAAGTCTGCTTGATTTTATTAGGAATTTATCTTTTCTAGGTACTCTCACTGTCTTTATTGGAAAGTTCACCAAGCTTTGTGCCCTACTGTGCCATGTTGCTTAATTGAAGAGTATTGGAACCCCAAGTGCAAGGCTGACTTTGTCTTTCCTCTTGATTATTTTGTCTCACGCTGAAATTTATGTAGTATTTTTTTGCTCTAGGTATATATATATATATATATATATATATATATATATATATATATATATTTTTTTTTTTTCCTGTACAGACTGATCTTTATTAATATCTACAATTGTTGGTTACTTTATAGTATTAATATATATGGAAGACTAGGTACTTACTAAAAATCATAAACTTAGAACACATTTGGGGAAATCCTATTTTTCTTTTTTTTTTAAACCTCCATTTTCTTTTTTTATATATGTAAGAGATTTTTCTAGTCGTTTTACATATCTGCCATGGATTCCCCTGTCCTTCCTCTTCCCACTCCCCAGCATTCCCCTCAACCCACTCCCCATTCCCACCTACTCCAAGGCAAGGACTCCCCTGGGGGAGTCAGCCCAGCCTGGTACATTCAGTTGAGGCAGGTCCAATCCCCTCCTTCCTGCACCAAGGCTGAGCAAAATGTCTCAGCATAGGCCCTAGGTTCCAAAAAGCCGGCTCATGCACCAAGGACAGGTCCCAGTCCCACTGTCTGAGGGCTTCCTGAACAGTTCAAGCTAATCAACTGTCTCACTTATCCAAAGGGCCTAGTCCAGTTCCATGGGGGCTCCTTAGCTATTGGTTCACAGTTCATGTGTTTCCACTAGTTTGGCTATTTGTCCCTGTGCTTTTTTCCAGTCATGGTCTCGATATCATTTGCTCATATAATCCCTCTTCTCTCTCGTCGATTGGACTCCTGGAGCTCCACCTGGGGCTTGGTCGTGGATCTCTGCATCTGCTTCCACCAGTCACTGGATGAGAGTTCTATCACGGCAGTTAGGGTGTTCGGCCATCAGATCACCAGAGTAGGTCTGTTCGGGCTTTCTCTCGACCATTGCCAATAATCTATAGTAGAGTCATCTTTGTGGATTTGTGGAGACCTCTCTAGCACTCTGCTTCTTCCTATTCCCGTGGAGTCTTCATTTATCATGGTATCTCTTTCCTTGTTCTCCCACTCTGTTCCTGATCCACCTGGGATCTCCCACTCCCCTAAGCTCTTTTTGCCCCTGACCCTTGCCCTCTATTACCCCCTTCACCCCCAGTTTCCTCATGTAAATCTCATCCATTTCTCTGTTGCTGGATGATCCCTGTGTCTTTCTTAGGGTCCTCTTTACTGGGTAGCCTCCCTGGAGTTGTCAGTTGCAGTCTGGTTATCTTTCAGTTTACATCTAGTATCCACTTAGGAGTGAGTACATACCATGTTTGTCTTTCTGAGTCTGGGTTACCTCACTCAGGATGACATTTTCTAGTTCCATCCACTTGCCTTCAAACCTCATAATGTCATTGTTTTTCTCTGCTGAGTAGTACTCCATTGTGTATATGTACCACATTTTATTTATCCATTCTTCAGTTGAAGGGCATCTAGGCTGTTTCCAGGTTCTGGCTATTACAAATAATGCTGCTATAAACATAGTTGAGCACATGTCCTTGTGGTATGATTGAGCATTCCTTGGGTATATGCCCAAGAGTGGGATAGCTGGGTCTTGAGGGAGATTGATTCCCAATTTTCTAAGAAAGCACCATGTTGATTTCCAAAGTGGCTGTACAAGTTTGCAATTCCACCAACAGTGGAGGAGAGTTCCCCTTGCTCCACATCCTCTTCAGCATAAGCTGTCTTCAGTGTTTTTGATCTTAGCCATTCTGATGAGTGTAAGATGGTATCTCAGAGTTGTTTTGATTTGCATTTCCCTGATGATTAAGGGTGTTGAGCAATTCCCTAAATGCCTTTCAGCCATTTGAGCTTCTTCTGTTGAGAATTCTCTGTTCAGCACTATAGCCCATTTTTTAATTGGACTGTTGAGTATTTTGATGTCTAATTTCTTGAGTTCTTTATATATTCTGGATATCAGCCCTCTGTCAGATGTGGGGTTGGTGAAGATCTTTTCCCATTCTATAGGCTGTCATTTTGTCTTATTGACTGCCTGAGACCCCAGCCACTTCCTGAGGCTTGAAAACCAACTCCTAGCTCTCATTGGACCTAGAGTTGAGTGACTCTGCTCATACCCAGTGAGTCCTACCCCTAGGACCCATCACTGGGTCACAACCGATCCCCGGGAACACCTGCCCAACTCTGCCCCAGTTGCCAGCCAGCAGGCAGGGTTCCTGTGGGAAGGCCCACCAAGACCCCCCATCAGACCCTGCAATCTACACACCCTGCCCCCATACCCATCTGCCCGAGGCCCCAACCACTTCCCGAGGCTCAGAAACCAAATTGCCAGCTCTCATTGGACAAAGAGTTGTCATTGGACCAAGAGTAACCTCAGGAGATAGTGAATCTGCTAGCCCTCACTAGACCAAGAGTGGCTTTCAGAGAAGTAGAATCTGCCACCTCTCATTGGACCAAGAGAGGCTTCCTGAAACACAGAATCTGTCAGCTCTGACTGGACCAAGAGCCCTGATAAGACCAAGAGCGACTCCATGAGTCACAGAATCAACTAGCTTGGGTTGACCCAAGAGAAGTTCCCTGAGACACGGAATCTGCCTGCTCCAATTAGACCAAGAGCTAAGACTGGACCCACAAGGGTCCCCTGAGACACAGACACAACAAGCACAAAGTGGACCAACAGCAGCTTGCTCAGACACAGGCACCTATATACCTATTAGAGGAGGAGATGGGTAGAAGTCAAGGCAGAAGTACATACAACAACATAAAGATCAGTACAGCATCACCAGAATCTAGCCCTCCTCCAACAGCAAGACCTGAACATCACAAGCTAGAAGAAGCAGAAGAAAGCAACCTTAAGAACAGCATCATGAAGATGCTAGAGGCCTTTCAAGAAGAAATGAAAAATGAAATTGAGGAAAAGACAAACAAAAAAGTGGAAAAAATCAATAAAAAATTGAGGAAAAGACAAACAAAAAATTGGAAGAAATCTAGGTATATTGATATCATTGAAAGTGATTAAGTTATTCAGTTCTCCAGGATTTAATATTATAAAGTAATTACACGGAGATTCTTGTATGTCCATATAATCTGATTCATCTATAAATTATTTAAGTTATTTGTTAGATGCTACAGATAAACCATGAAGAAATACTGATTTCTGTTCTTAAGGGTCCAGTGGATGAAATATGCAAGTAACTATTTCCATAACTGTTGTCATGGAGGAAACTCTCCACCAACAAAGTGGACGTATAAATAGCATTCTGGGGGATAAGGAAACCTTTTTGAGAGAATTATTGTCTCAGATAAGATCCGGCAATTTTGCAGGTTCTTATGAATCCTAAAATTACGTGATCTCAGAGCCCAAATTACAAGGTAATTAATAACTAAGGCAGAAGCAAGACATGTCCAGAGGACTGAGAGGGAATCGACACAAAGAAGGGGTCAACAGTGCGCACCAGGAAGGAGCACAAAGGGACTGAAGGGATGGTGTGGGAGAGTGTTGTGACACATGACAGTCTTATTCACACAGGTAGAACACATATTCAGCACCAATAAATGTCAAGCCATATGCCAGGTACAAAGTAGTCAAGCATTGAATCTCAGCTCTGTAATTGATTAGACAAATAACCTCAAGTAAACTACTTGACTTCTCTGTCCTTCATTTCCTTCCAATGCATTATGGAGATCACAGGAGCACGTCCTTTAAGTTCTGTGAGGTAAAAATAGATAATGCATGGAACATGTTTGAAAGTGTGTCTGGCACTCAGTAAGAATAAACAATTTATTTAGAGTGTTATTTCACAGGGTGTTACATAGGCACTGTGAGTAGGTTTTGGTAACCTTGGCAATCACTTTGCTTCTTTTTTTTTACCACAGGACACCCCAACCTGTGGAGCTACTGAGCAATTCCAACTAAGAAATGGCAAAATCAACTTCAAGGTAGTCGTGGAAAAAAGCACGCGCTGAGAACAAGTGTGGTCAATAGATCTCTAGCAATGGGAGTACAGGGATGCTACTTGGATATTGCCTGCAGTGCCTGGCATGTGGCTTGGCATATATTGCTGCTAAATATGTGTCCTACGTGTGTGAATGAATTGTCGCGTGTCCCAACAACCTCCTGCATTGTCCCTTTAGTCTGTTGGCGCCCCTTCCTGGTGCGCACCGTTGACCCCGACTTTGTGTCCCTCTCAGTCCTCTGGGCGTGGCTTGCTTCTGCCTTAGGGCTTAGTTCAAAACAAATCAAGTGGGTTTTTTGCCCTCTGACGCTTTGTTTTTGTCACATTGCACGCCCACCCCCGACAGTGTAAAGACGGGGATTTTTTAGGGTGGCATTTATTCATTCATTAAAAGTTCTATTGTGCTCTGTATATCTGTCTTCTCTACAGAGGGCGCTGTATTATTTCAAAAAGATAACATTTTTTTTTCCAGCTCCTTCAATTCTATGGAGTTCCTGCAAGCATTTGAAAGGTATGGATTTAGAGAACATAAGGAGATTGTGTTATACATGGAAATATCTAAATCCATGTTAAGGAACTCAAGTTTTAAATAGCACATGTTTTATCATCCTTCCTGGATACATGAAATGTTGTAATGATTTGCACGACTGGCTGGAAATGAAAACTCTTATGCTCTTAGAAAAAGTCCGTGCTTGAACTACAATGATTATTTATTGAACAGCTGTGTTCCTTATAGATGTGTGTGTGTTGCATGCTATGGATAAACCATGATTCTCTTCTCACATACAGCTTTTCTCTTTACTGTGTAGGATAGCAACATGTGAATGGATGCAAGATTGGTACATCACATTTAGTATATATGACACCAAAGCTCAGGCTTATGTGTGGGATAATGAGCCAAGTGTACAGCTCTAAGCAGACTCCGTAAATGTCCTTGGCCTCACTTAAGCTGAATTTGAGTTTCTTTGGCATTAAGGGGGAGATCTGGACTTGGGGGGTATGTCTGAGCTCTGGGTGCACATGAGAACTACGTTATGGTTTAATTGTTCTCCTACTTCCAATCATAGATTCTCCATTCCCTTAAAGAGGGTGACCTGGCGGTGCTCCCCCAACATACCACCTTTCCTTAGCTGTTGGATCTAAGGGAATCAGCACCAGATTACAGACATATGCCTAGTGTTAACAGAGGGCATGTGGGGTCCATCTGTGCTTTGGGAAGGTGCACCTGTAAAGATTAAGGCACACGTGGTCTCTATTTAGGTGTTCAGAGAGGCTAAAAGGAAAAACACTTGCTATAATGTAGCTTTGAAAATGGGAAACCAAAAATGAGAAAAGGTTATTTCTTTCAGAAGATGCTTGCCAAATTCACCAGCCTGGAGGACTCAAGTGTGGGAAATGGAAAGGAGGGGATTCAGTTTGAGGGTGGGGTGCAGAGCATGGAGTGTATATGGTGCCAGACGGATGGAGGTTACAACACACAAGTGTGAAAACTCCTCCACACAGTGGCTTAGGGTAGAAGCCCTCTCTTGGCAACATACTTACTCTCCCTTCTTCTCACCAAAGCTTCCGGCTGCGCCTACCAACACCTGCACTGCACTCTGGGACAGAATCTCATTCCTGTACTGCCGTTGGTAGCTCGCCTGAAAGAAAAGTTGATTTAAATAATTACATGCTGTGGGCACAATGACAGTTTATCAGCTCCTTAATAGAAAAAAAAAATGATGTGTGAGAAAGAAGACAAACTCCCCAAATGACCTAACATGCTTGCACAGAAAGAATCTTTCTACAGAGTCCAGGTTACCATGTCAACACAGGATAGATCTGGGCATTGGGGAGAATAATCAGGTTCTGCAGGAAACTCTGGCACTGCGAGTCTTTGACCCGGGTTAAGAAAGGTAGAGTTCTGTGAAAAAATAACTCTGGGGTTGGTACAAGCTGTGTCCCACTGTGAAACTTGTGATGCATATTAGAATATTAAGGGCGTTTAGAAATCCTGATGGATTAAAATCACCTTGGCTCATCTTTATTTAAGCCCATGTTCCCAAATATTTTACAATACGCCTCTGCTAGCTCCTATCTATTAGATGACACAGTCACCCCTTTATTACATTTATTGATGATCTGCTGAGCTTTTGGGAGTCTGAGGTTGTGCGAGCTACCACTGGATGCTGTACCTGTCAGAAGTAAGCTGATCATGGTTGAGAATCACTGTATAGGACACATTTCTAAACTGGGATGTAGAATGTAATGGAAGGTTCCTGGGTCTGTAGTCAGGATTCTGTATACAACCAATGATGAAATTACAACACTTTTACTCTTGGAGGGTACTAGAAAGATAAATCAACTAACTTTGGGGAATGAGGGGTTAAAAAGCTGCTCTTGGGACTGGGGATACAGTTCCATGGCTGAGCACTTGCCCAGCATACAAAGGGCCTGGGCTTCATCCTCATTACTATTAAAGATGTCTCCATAGCAACAGGAATTCAATAGAGCAGCAGTCTTTTCCTTAAACAGCTTTAAAGAACATATACAATATATAATTAAAATATTATTATTATTAGCCTTAAGGTTAAAAACAGCAGTGTGTTTGGAAAAAAAAAACTGAGGAAGTTGAAAACAATTTGGACTCCATGAAATCTTAGAAATGCTAGTGGCAAAGTGGCTAGAAACTAGAAAAAAATCTAAATTTTTAAATGATCATTTTCACTAAACAGAGAAGAAATTGAAGACAGTTGATTCTACAAAGCAGCTCTTCTGGAATTACATGGTCTATATATGCCTTACTTTATGAAGAGTCCAGTCCATTCTCTGCTCTGCAGATGCAAAAGGTAGCCTTTTCAGGATAGTGTCAGAGACTGGATTTGTCTGAATTTGATATTTTGCTTCTCATCACCATTACAATATGTTAATACTCTGAATGAATACAGAATATTTTCTACACCAGACTTTCTTTTCTAGTGTACAACGGTAGAGAAGATATTCTTTCCTTTACCCAGAACTGGGTGAGATCTGAACAACAACATTCAAAGTTTTGAAGATTGTGATAGGCCACTTAGAACAGAGAGTGCAGAGATGAAATTGACCACATGGCAATAAATATGCAAAGATGGCTAAGGTGAAGAGTTACTACAAGTGCACTGAGAAGATTGAATCTGCCTTGAAAAATAAGGTTTCTTGTTTAAAAAAACACAAAACAAAAGCCCAATATAAAAAATCAGGGGTATAACAGCAGTAATCAAACATTTGAGGAAAGAAATTGAGAAGGTACAGGGGCTGTTGATTGTGTAGAACCCAGGTTGAGATAAACAAAAAGAACTGCAGAGGTCATGCAGTCATCTTAACCCCCCACCACCATTTTGCACATGGGGAGAATAGAGTAAATAGGTCATTATTGCAATAGTAATAAAAGCAAGACTTTTAGGGGAGTCACCTGCATATGTTTTGAGGGTTCTGGAATGCTGTGTTTTCCTGAAATAAAAAAAAAAATCTAGAAATGACTTAAAACCATGGTTTTAAAAAATTCTAAACTCCAATGAGATAAAAATAAGTTGGAAACATCTAAGTGGGAAAATAAGCTACAATTTATTTCATAAATAATTATAAATATGTATCACTTTACTGCCTTCATATAAACATATCACTAACTAGATGCAACTCTTGCATTTTAGGCCTGAAAAAAATCTGTAGAAATTAAGTGACCAAACTTTTTTCTACATTAGGAACATGAGCTACCAGGTCATGTCAGATTTGTTCCATAGGCTCCACTGAGATGTGTACTGCTACTGATGGCTATGAATGTGACCATCACAAACTAATAGACTTAAGTAGAACATTAGGAGGTGTGTGTGTGTGTGTGTGTGTGTGTGTGTGTGTGTGTGTGTGTGTGTGTGAGACTTTTTTTTGTAATTTGATTGCATGGTTCTTGAGTACAAACAATGTCAAAAGTTTGGGCATACCTAGCTACTAAATCATTGAGAGGTAAATCGTATAGATTTTTTTTTATTGGAAATGTTGGAAATATCAGTGATAAATACAATAGCAATGTTTTGAAGAATGTGTATTTAAGAAGGCATATCTATAAAAAGCTGAATGTTTACAGAGTAACTAATAAAATTGTGATTAGGAAAAAATATAAAATTAAAGATTGAAAATTATGAGAAAAAATAAAATTGTTTTAGAACTCTGAATTAAAATAATCTTTGTGTTCTCAGCCATTAGTACCTCATATGCTAATTTTCTTCTTTAAAAATAAAATCATAAGAAGAATGAGAAAAAAGAAATGGGAATATATATATAAATATATATTTACTAAAATTAGTCTATGATAATGTTTTTAATTGGAAGTTGGTAGCTAGATAATTATTCACAGTTTAATGATAAAGCTACACATGCTTTTGTTAGTTTGTTTTGAGACAGGGTTTCACTATGTACACCAGGCTGGCCTGAAACCCGTGGAGATCAGCCTGTTTCTGCCTCCACAGTGCAGGGAAGAAGGTATGTGCCACCATGCCCAGCTAAGCATGCATTTTAAAGTCAACTTAACAGGCAGAAAGAACAAAAAAGCATTGTTCATTTCTATATAAAAGAAGGAAAGAAGTCAGGGAAGGGAATGCAGGACAATAAAACAAAACCAGCAAGAGAGATACTTGAGAAGAGCAGACTTAAGATACCCAAATAACCTGACTGCTTTTTCTTATAAAATATAGACAGTGTTCAGAGAGGTTCAAGTGAACAAGTATTGAGTACCTATTATGCACCTCATATTACGCTGTTCAGCATTAGACATAGAGTATTAGATGTACTGATAAATCACAATTATTGGGATATTGCTACTTTACTAGATTTACCTGGGAAGGAAAATGAACTCTTTTTAAAAGGTAGAATTTATTCTATTTCCCTTCCTAGGGAGATCCTTCTCTCTTTGCTAGATAGTTGTGGATGGATGGGGGTGGGTGAGAGGATGGGGAATGGGAGGATCAAATGGGGAGGCAGAGGGATGAGAGAGGGAGCAAAGGGAATGGGGGGGGCAGCAAAAACTAACGGTCATTTGAGGGGTTGTACGGAAACCTAATGCAGTAGATGCTGTGGGATAATGCTCTGGTACACTGGTTTAATAAAATGCTGATTAGCCAGTAGCCAGGAAGGAAGTATAGGTGGGGCAAGCAGACTAGGAGAATTCTGGGAAGAGAAAGGGCAGAATCAGGAGTTGCCAGCCAAACACAGAGGAAGCAAGATGACGAGGCAGAACTGAGAAAAGGTACCAAGCCACGTGGCTAAACATAGATAAGAATTATGGGTTAATTTAAGTGTAAGAGTTAGTCAGTAATAAGCCTGAGCTAATGGCTGAGCAGTTATAATTAATATAAGCCTCTGTGTGTTTTCTTGGGGCCAAGTGGCTGCGGGACATGGGTGAGAGAGATTCATCCAGACTGTAGGGCTGGGCAGGACCAGAGAAACATCTGGCTACAAGTAAAAGCTTCTTAAAATATATACATATATGAAAGAACTCTA